CCCCCCCCCCCCACTGCAGACCCTTTTGGTTTGCCTGTAAACTTACTCTGTCTTTAGTCAGTGGCTGCTCCTCCCCTTCTGCCCCGTCTCTGAGAGGGGGGAAGACTGCTGGCCTCCTCTGTATATTTTTGGCAGGCTTCTTGGTGTAATGAATGTCTCTGAGTAGTAAGAGAAAGGCACTTGCCCGGTGGCCAGACTCTCTGCTGCAGAGCAGTCGGCCACATGGGGTGGCTCAGCTGTTAGGTGTGGGGAAGCCCTCCGGGGGGAGCCGGAGATCCACGGGGGGGTGGAGGGACCGTAGGGTTCAGGTCCTGCCCCTTAAGGTGCTGGAAGCCACAGGGCCTGGCTTGGCCTCCGATGCGTGGGAGCCCAAGCACACCCGCTGGGGAAGCGACGGGCAGCGGGGGCCGGGGGGGCCCTTCGTCCACTTGGGGGCGGGGAGGCAGAGAAGATCTGGCCGCTGTGGATCATTTTATTTATTTATTTATTTATTTATTTTATAGACCACCCTCCCCTATCCATAGGGCTCAGGGCAGTGAGCAGCATTTCAACAATACATTCAACAGACCACATTTCAGTAAATACCTTTGCAGTCAATTAAAACAATAACAGTCTGATCTAGATGCTTCCAGGGCCATCTCTAATACTCTGAAATAGTCTTAGAGATGGCCCTGGATGCATCTAGATCAGACTGTCCCGATCCACTCTGGGTGGCGCTGCCGCGTGCATCACTCTCCAGAAGCTGCCCCGTGGCACAGAATGCTGCAGCCAGAACACTGCCTGGGGTGGCTCATAGGGACCCTCTTTCTCCTGCTGGGGCCATTTTTGCTGGCTCCCAGTTCAAGGGACAAATATCGTCCTTTAAAGCCCTATGGAGCTTGGGACCCACATACCTATTCCTTTATGAGCCCAGCTGACCGCTGCAGTCGTCTTTGGAGGCTCTGCTTCAGGTACCTTCATCCACCTGAGCCCAGGGGGTGGCAAGCAGAAAAAGGGGCCCATTGCTCGTGGCCCCAAAACAATGGCGTTCCCTGTCTAGGGAGACTGGCTTCTCTTCTGTCATCATCTTCTGCCAGCAGGTAGAGACCTTTAAGAACCTTTAAAACCTTGGGGGCCCTAAGTTGAGTGAGAAGGTAGCATAGCAGTGTTTTAAATGGGTAGCAATTAAATCAATAAATAAAAGCCCGAGTGGGAGGAGAGGTGGTAAGTGTGACCTCTGGCTCGGAGCGGGTGCTGATGCCTTTTTGCCTTTGTCAGAACACTCCATGTGGATTTGGGCTCAGTTTTCCCTAGAGAGATGTTTATTCTGGTGCAGTCACCATACATCACTGCGTCTTGGGTGGCGTGGGTGCTGCTTTCGTTCAAGTCTGGTCTTTGTGTTTGGGAGTGTGCCCCAGTGTCTCTCTGGGGTACTGTTGAGAGTCTGGATTGGGGCCCAGGAAGAGTGGGAAGATGGCCGTTTCCAACTGATGACGTACGCAGGTTGGGTTGTCCTTGTCCCTCTCAGTGCCAAGGTCAGATGGGGAGGCCTGCTGTACGTTTTGGCAGGTTTTGTTCCTAAGTGCTGTCCGTAGAGGGCCTGTCTTGTCTCCCTGTATTAGTTTTCCATCTGTTTGGGGTGCCGTTGGCAAAACGGATCGTTTGGAATCTAGGGGCTTCTCCTCCACCTGACATGTTCCTTTTTCAGGGCAATTCAGGTCTTGGCTTCAGCATTGCCGGAGGAACGGACAACCCACACATTGGGGACGACTCCAGCATCTTCATCACAAAGATTATCCCAGGGGGCGCGGCAGCGCAGGATGGAAGGCTGCGGTACGTTGGACACACGGCCCACGTGAGGCCTGGGCTCCACCTCAAACCCGCTTTGGCCGCTGTCTGGGGGGGGGGGAGAGGGGCTCACGCCTGGGCCCCCGGCCTTGGTGCTGATGCTCCTGCTGCGCCCCCATGCTGGTGCGTCCTGGAGGCGAGCTCAGAGCCACCCAAGCCAGCGTGGGATTCTGGCTGAGAATAGCTGCAGCAGAATCTTCAGCAGTGGGATTCTCCCTCAGATGGAAACACAAACCTTCCAGCTCCACAGACACGCAGGCATTTGTGTGCAGGGTCTCTCATTTAGGAGGACAGGATCCTCATACAAAGGTGGAGAAAGAACCTGCAGACGTGTGCTGACCGTGGGCAGACAGTCGTCACTTTTTCCACCTGAAATGTGGGTGGATACCAAGGTGCATTTGGTGTGACTATGAATCCACAAGGGTTAAGCTGACACTACATATAATAAACATACAAAATTTATTTAGGTGTACACATTTTAAAAAACTTAAGACTCATTTAAAATATTCACAATCAGACCTAAAAAACTTCTCAACATTCATACATAGATGGGTTAGTGCTGTGCAACTGAACCAAACGCGTTTCGGCCCCAAAGGGCCTTCCTCAGTGGTCACAATCCAAAATACAAAGTTGACATACAGTCCAAAAAAATATTTACATAAGATGTTAAATATATATGCAGTATAAGGCCAGATGTTATGTCCTAGATAATAATTACCAAAAGAAAATAAGGGAAAAGGGGAAACAAGGAAAATGTCATTATAATTTCTCATGTATTTGTTTTTCTACTAATTGAAAACTAATATATATGAGGAATAAAAATTACCTTATATATTTATATGTATATTGCTGTTCTATAGGATAGGCCTCAGGTATGGCCAATTAAAGTCCACTAATAATTCCAAATCTAAAAGGGAATGAAATAATTACATGCAATTGTATACTTCCAAAAGGATTTTTTTTTTAATTTTTTTTGACAATCTGAATTGGCCTACTAACCTGGTAGCATAAACTTGTGTGAGTTGACTGTATGTCACTCCATCCTGTACAAATTCTGGTGTATTTCCTTTTGGAAGTATACAATTGCATGTAATTATTTCATTCCCTTTTAGATTTGGAGTTATTAGTGGACTTTAATTGGCCATACCTGAGGCCTATCCTATAGAACAGCAAGCTGAGGTGGGCAGTTGGTTATTAATTTATAATTTATTCCCACTGTCTTACAAATCAATTAAAAACAGCATAACGATACATAGGTACAGCAGTAAAAAAAAAAACCCCACTAAGAGCGGCCAAAAGAGAGTGTGAATGCACTTTGCTTAAAAGCCCTCATTAAAACACTAAAACAATCAGACAGCACAGGTAAAATGCATTTTGGGGAGAGGAGGAAAATTAGCCAAAGGTTTGGAAAAGTAAAAAAAATTCCCTGACACCTAAAGGAAGTAGATTTGGTGTCAGGTGAATCTCTGTGGGGGGGGGCACCACAGGGAAGGCCCTGTCTGCAGTACTCACCCTCCTTGCTTCTTCTGGCTGGGGGTGGTGAGCAGAGCCTCTGAGGAAGCCGGCTGGTGGGCTTGTGTAGGAGGGGGAGGCATCTCTCCACGCACCCTGGCCCCAGACCACCCTGGCCCTCAGAACGTCTCGTAAGCAAATCAGCAGCCAGTGGAGATTTTTCGGAACTGGTGAGTGAGGGCCCTGTAACGCTGGTCTGATGGCAACCTTTCCCCTGTATTCTTGAGCGACTTCAGATGTGAAGCTCTCTGTTCTTGTCCCTGGGCTGAAGTTTGCACTGAAGAAGTGTCAGGAACCGAATCGTTCTCAGCACTGATACAACTTTTAGGATGGCCAAAGGGCCACACGTGCTGGGGTGTGTGTGTGTGTGGTCCTTCCTGCTCCAGGAGTCTGATGAAAGATATAAGGGGGGGGGGGGGGGGACCAGTGCTCCCTCTAAGCCGGGGGGTCGTGTTTGTGAGCAAAAATTCTACTTCGTGAGGTGCCGGCATTAAAGTTGTGAGTGAGTCATTTGGCTGCTGCATCATCAGTTAGTTTGCCCTGGAGCCCTCCTTCCTGAGCTAAGACAAAAATGTGTGAGCCGGAGGCTAAAAAACTGAGAGGTAGCTCACACCAGTTCAGCTTAGAGGGAACACTGGGGGTGACCATCAGTCTCACTTATGTGTGGAGCCAAAAAGTGAGCTTTTTCACATGGCTCAAAATGGCAACACTGACATGTTTCAAGGAAATGGAACTGCACTGTCAGAACAGAAGGGAAAAACAAAATAGTCGGAATAGTATCCCAGAAGAGTCAGCAGTAGTAGTGGTTAAGACGCTGAACTGCAGGCTGTGGAAGGTCAGTAGTTCAGCGGTTCAAGACCCGGGTGCCGCAAGACAGGGTGAGCTCCTGTCTCTAGTTCCAGCTCCTGCCAACCTAGCAGTTCGAAAGCAAGAAATTGCAAGTAGATAAATAGGGACCACTTCGGTGGGAAGGTAACAGCGTTCCGTGCGCCTTGATGTTTAGTCATGCCAGCCACATGACCACGGAAACGTCTTCGGACAGCGCTGGCTCTTCGGCTTTGAAACGGAGATGAGCACCGCAACCCTAGAGTCGGATTCGACTGGCTTTCGAGCAAGGGAACCTTTACCTTTACAGCCAGTACAGCTGTCACTGACAAGACTGCTTGTGATCGGGGGGCGAGGGGGTGTGGCATACACGACAGCACGTGCCACTGAACGAAGGAGGACTGACTTCTGGGTAAACGTGCGCAGGATTGCAGGGGGGAAAGGAAGCTTGGAGGTGACCTCTATAGTTTTGGTGGTTCTTGCTCAGCATGTTTTATCTGTTGTGCATTTGAAGCTGAGAGCAAGCCCCTGTTGTTCCCAAAGATGCTTCGTGGTTTGGAGTTGGGGCTGCTTAAATCCAAACCTTAAGCTACTGTTTAGTACAAATGGCTTGTGGTGGGATAGGAGAGCTCACAGGAGTCCTTGCTGCCTGTCTGCAGGGTCAACGACTGCATTTTGCGTGTGAATGAGGTGGACGTCCGTGACGTGACACACAGCAAAGCGGTGGAAGCTTTAAAGGAGGCCGGCTCCATGGTCCGGCTTTATGTCAAGAGAAGGAAACAGGTCACAGAGAAGATTGTGGAGATAAAGCTTGTGAAGGGCCCCAAAGGTTTGTGGCAGCTGGGATGGGAGCGGGCGGGGCCTGGGGGCCGGCAGACAACTGCAGCGGGCAGGAGTCCGTGTTGCTCTGTGGTCTCCCTCCCCCACCCCCCATGCATCTGTGGGCGCAGAGGGTCGTTTTCAAAGACCGCCCCTCAGAGACCGCCCCTGGGATTCTCTGTGGCCGTGTCCAGTCAGCTGAGAGCAGCACATGGCCGCGGGTGTCCCTCAGGGGGATTCAGTGTGCTTTCCAGCAAGTCAAGGGACATCTTCGGTGGTCCCATTTTTCCTGCCTGGTTCCTACCTAACTGGCCCCTGCCCCAGAACCTCCTTTCTGTGCCTTTCCCGGGCAGAATTCCAGATAACCGAATCCAGCCCTGGTAGGCTGAATAGCAGCACAAGATGCCTGCAAGGTGTGGAAATGATGCTGACGGTCTTTCCTTTCTTGAAGCAGGTCTTGGGTTCAGCATCGCCGGGGGTGTTGGAAACCAGCACATCCCTGGAGACAACAGCATCTACGTCACCAAAATCATTGAAGGAGGGGCGGCACACAAGGATGGCAGACTCCAGATTGGGGACAAGCTTCTGGCTGTGAGTGGCAGTTTGGCTTTCCATTTGCTTGCTTGGCTCCTCTCCCAGCGGCACTGTGTAAAGTGAATAAATAGTTCATACATCTGAAAACATGAAATATTTCATATAAGTTTTTTTCCAGCGCTCCCCGAGTTTTCTGTCAGAAAAGCTGAAATGAAGTCCTCAGAGAAGCATGGGACTGTCGCCGTTTACCCCCCCCCCCCCCCCTCCTGGGTCGCCCCCCCCCCCCCCTGTTCCCCCCCCTTTTTCCTGGGCCACACCATACCACTCTAAACCAATGTTCCCTCTAAGCTGGGGAGGCTTGTGAGCAAAAATTCTACTTTGTGAGCTACTGGCATGAAAGTTGTGAGCCAGCAATTTGGCTACGGCATAAGTTAGTTTGCTCTGGAGCCCTCCTTCCTGAGCTGAGACCAAAATGTGTGAGCTGGAGGCTAAAAAACGGTGAGCTAGCTCACACTAACTCAGCTTAGAGGGAACAATGTGCTAAACAGCAGCGTTTTGATTCTGGACATCTCGTTTCAGTCCCTTTCGCCAGGGTCCCGTGGCAGCCATCCTCACAAGCCCCGCCTCTCTTCCAGAGCTCTAAACCAGTCTTGTGATTTGGGCCTCAGGCAAGTCCAAGCGATTGTCAGCGGCTCAGAGCCCAGGGAACGAACTGCGCGGGATGGGAGGGGCGGAGCCAGCCTCAGCCTTTAAAAGGGAATGGCAGCAAAACCTCTTTCCTTTGGGGGGGGGGGGGGGGGGGTTAGTGGCTCTGGAAAGGAGAGTGTCAGCTTAGCTGGGCTTTTATTTGGCACTTTTTTTTTTTAGTTAGGGTTTGCGGATCACCTTAGGGGGGAAAGCCTATTCTTGTGAGACCCATAAGCATCCTGCTGAGGGCTCACCATTTCTAACTGGTGGTGTGTGGAGGTTCTTTGGGCAGGAGCTCCTGTGTGGCATAAGAGCCGCCTTGAACCTGCCGAGGCACCCTGTCCAGAGGAAGGGGAATCAGATCTCTCCCCTCAGGGGTCATCTGCTTTTTGGGGGAGCCAGCCTTATTTTATATACCTCAGTTATCCACACATCCCATTTGCCTCGTTAAATACTTCATCTTCTGTTAAACAGACCTTTGGTGTTCATCTCCATCTGCGTCTTGCCTGTCAAGCCAAAAATCTAAGAAGCGGGCGTCTCTGTCTCTCTCTCAGCCTCACATGCATTCACAGCCTCAGTCTTTTTCCCCCCTTTTCTTCAAATGAGAGACCTTTAAGGAGCACACAGCGCTCTCTCTCTCTCTCTCTCTCTCTCTCTCTCTCTCTCTCTCTCTCTCTCTCTCTCTCTCTCTCGCACTACCAATCTGTACTTCAAAGCTTGTGTCCCCCTTTCTACTTGAGTGTGGGCGGCTGGAGTTCAGAGGATCTCTAGGAGAGGCCCTGGTGGGGGGACTGGATGCCTCAGAGCCTCCCCCAGCCCCACCTTGTGGCCGCCACAGATTCCTAGCATGAAATGTGGTCTCATCTGCAAACTGGGCCACTTCACTGCGCATCCCTCATTCCAGGACATTTAATTACCTCCATTGTGAAAACAGTCTTGATTTTTACTTTGTTTTCCATCATTTAACCAGTTTCTAATCCATGAGAAGACTTGTCTTCTTATCCCATCACTGCTATGCTTATGCACAAGCCTTTGATAAGAGACCTTATCAGAAGCCTTTTTGAAGTCTGTTCAAATTTTTTTCTGTTAATTTTTTCCCAAAGTATTCCAAAAAATGGTGAGACTGGACTTCCGTATAAAGAAGGCATGTTGGTTCCTTTTCATGGCTTCTGTGGAGTCCCACATGGGGACTGCGCAGTCTCAGGCCACCTCCGGGGGAAGAGCTACCAAACTTTCTTAAAAGAAGAAGGTCCTGGAGCCTCAGAGTGTATCCCCGCCCCCCCCCTCCGCCTTCAGCGCTGCCTTTCCTGCCCAGGGGGTCGGTCATTCATGGGACGGAGGTGGGTCAAGCACCCTTCCCCCAGTCCTCTTCCTGCTGCCATAAGGAGAGCACAAGCTTTACCGAGCTGCTTTCTTCAGAGATAGTTTTGAAGTTTTTTCCTCTGCACCAGGACTCCAGAGAAGGGGTAGGATGGCATTGTTTAAAAAATGTGAGGCGTGCAGAGCCCGAGTGGCTGAAAGCCATGAGCACAAGCCATGCCTCTTCTGTTTGGGTGAAGGGCATGATCCTGCCTCACGCCCTGCACAGCCCCGCTTCACGCCAGAGGCCAGAGAAGGAGAGGGTCAAGGCTCCTCAGAGCAGCCTCAAGGCGGGGTCATATGACACAGTTTGTGGAATGATCCCGGAAGAGGAAGAAATGCTCGCTAAGGTGTTGACGCTGGAAGAGCGAGAACAACAGTTAAATGTGGCCAGTCGTGTGGCAGGCTGCCCCAGCAGGGCACCGGCGTCAGGCGTCATCGTAAGGAGGCCTTCCTGGTTGAGATCCTCAGCCCTCCCCCAAGACGCCAGGGCCAGGACGGAAGACCTTCCACTGGAGGGCGGAGAGCTGTTCAGTAACCAGGCGGATGGTGTTTGAGACCTGCATCGACAAAAATAAGATAACGTCCACGTCTCCAGGGATCACTCCTGCTCAGCCCTAGAAGCAGAGGTACTTTCTCAGGCACTCTCAAAAGATTTCGCCCATCCAGGCCCTGCCGTGACTTGGAGGACAGGCCCCAGGCTCCCCAAGCAGCCCAGCAGTCCTCTAGGCCATCCTGTCCCCAGCAAGCTCAGGGCAGGGTGCAAAATAAGCGAAGAGGAAAACGTTCCTCCCGTTCCCCCAGGAAGTAGCAGCCGCGAGGGGGGTCAGGAATGTCCTGCCTAGCACAGGACGCATTCTTTGGGGGCAAGTTGTCCAGGCTTTTTGCCGGTTGGAAGGGTGTTGTACATAATTAAAATATGGGTTATTTCTTGACATTTGAGCCTCTGCCTTCATATCATCCCCTCGGTGATGTCCGGTCACAAGAGGTCTCCTTCCTCTTGGCCCAGGGTGCCAGTTACTGTGCTTGCTGCAGGCTTGGGGGAGACAGGATTCTTTCCTAGGCATTTCACACTCGACAAAAAAGGGGAAGGAGGAATGCCCATTTTTGGATCTGAGGGTTCTGAACAAACACCCTTACAAGCGGCACTGCCCTTGCCAGAGGAGGACCTATAGTTCGCAGTACTGGACCTTAAAGATGGACACTTTCACATAGTGATCTACAGAGCATGTAGAAAATTCCTTCGCATCATGCATGAAGGCACACCATGTATGAATATGCAGTTTTGCCTTTTGCGCTCGCTACAGCACAGAGACTGTGTTTACCAAGGGCGCCTAGCTGGGTGGTTGTTCCTTACCTGAGACTCAGGAGCTGCACCATTTACCTGTACCTCAACGACTGGCTCTTTGTGGATAGCTTCTCCTCCCCCTCCCCCCCCCCCCCCCCCCGGCCTAGAACATAATCTTTGGTTCGCCCTTCATGCCCTCCAGGACCTTGGCTTTCTTGTTAATGAGAAATGTTGCCTTCTTCCTCCCGTTCAGTCTATGGATTTTGTTGGGGCCACAGTTGACTCCATCAGGGGAAGAGCATTCCTGCCATGGCAAGGGCAAATAATCCACCAGGAATGTTCAGGAATTGCTGGGCTACCTGGCCTCAGCCGCAGCAGTGATCCCCCGCGCTAGACTTCACATTAAGACCTCTCCAAAACCGCTTTGTGTGCACATTTAATCCTGCGGTCACAATGGAGAAGGCTCTCAATCCCCCCAGGGCAGCTCTTAGGACCCTGAGCCGGTGGGCTCGCTTATCACACATCTGCTCAAGGGGGCTCCTCTGGGGGGACACACGTTCCTGTGATGTGCAAGTCTTCACACGGACTCTTCCGTCACAGGTTGGGGGGGCACACTCTGGCGTTCCACGGGGTGAGAGCAGCACGGACCCGCTTTGAGTCAAAACTTCACATCAGACTGTAAGAACTCAGAGCTATTCGACCCGCTCTGGCTTCTTTTGCAGTGCACCCAAAGGGACGTCAAGTTCTCTTGGCTACAGACAGCGCGACGGCCAAATTTTACATAAACAAGCAGGGAGGCACACGTTCCATGTGCCTCTGCAGAGAGGCATCTCTCATCTGGCATTGGGTGATAAAACACAGGGTGTATTTAACAGCCATACACATTGCAGGGCAAGTCAGCACCCTAGCAGGAATACTAAGCGGAGATCTAGACATGAATCAGGAGTGGTCGGTTGTCCATCATTATCTCCACCCCATCTTCAAAGAGTGGGGTGTCACGGCAGGACCAGGGGGCGTGACACAAGCAAGCGAAAGTCCATAAGCAGTCCGAGGTCAAGCTGAGCAAATCAGGCAGCGAGGTTCAAACAGGTTTAAATCACAGTCCAAAAGCAGGGTCAGACATACCAGAGTTTCAAGTCCATAAATCACAATGATACCAGAGGAGTCAGAGATGAATGCAGAGTCAACGAAGCCGAGGGTCAAAAGCCGAGGATCAAGCCAATAATAATTCCACAAGGTCTGGAGCAGAGATGCAAGGATTCAGGTCCTGACAAACGATGTTTGCCTGCACAAATGACTGCTGGCAACAGACTTGCAGATATACAGTGCTAGCTAATTAACTCATTAGCTAGCCGGGAGCGAGGTCAGGATCCTGTCAATATTCAGGGCTAAGAGATCTTCTGGCACACATGCGTGCATTCTGTCTTCGCTCTCTCAGCTGCTGTCTCCGTACATTCCGGAGCCTGGTTACAGGTGGTGGTGAGTCTGATGACGAATTACTGGTATGCAGCAGAGACTGATCCCTTGCAGGTGTTCCCTGGGAGGCTCTATCCTCCTCACCACTTAGATAGCTTTCAGCTACAGGATCCAGTCTTTGCCTTTCTGCTGCAGTACTGTCCTCAGGAGCCTGTAAGTCCACAGGCTCCTGGCTGGCAGGTGCCTCCTCAGGGGCATCAGCAAGGGCAGGCATGACATCAGCAGGGGCAGGCATGACATGGGGATC